AGAAATCAGTGTTGAATAAAGAAAGAAAAAACACACAGTATACCAACAATATGCCCTCCTGCATGTCAGAAAGATTTCCTGACCATGGCTGAGACAAATAAAAGTCTCCTTTATACATCCTAGAAAACCCCTAATGGTCTCTCCAATCTGAATAATGGATTTTACTACAAAGTGGTCTCTTCTTCTGTTGTTTGGTGTATTAGTGAAAGCTACAGGATGTGTAGCTTTATTACTATTAATTTAAATATTCAAATAAGAGTAGGTACACCTGGCAAGAGGAAACACAATGTCCTACAGAAAATGCAATGGGAATGGAAAACAAATTACAGAACAATCTCAAAATTATCAACAAAATACATGGAATTAAGCCTAACAGTAATATTTTTCATGTATGTACTAAACTCTAGCAAAACAGACTAGAGGCCCATTGTTAATAGCAAGATTAAGAAAATACTCTTAGAGAAAAAAAATCCCCTTTGAAATACAGAGAAGCTCTTCATGATACCATTTTCTGTAGTAAAGTATTTTCAGCTATAGTGACAAAACAGAAAACAGTTGTTTACAGAAAACAGTTATTTACGTGGCTGTTTCGGGGAGCTGGCTGCTCTGTGTTCGCGAGACACTCCGGGGTGCTGCAGCGCCGGTGCGTGAAGCAGCGCCTACATTACGAGTCTGCCTATGAAGCACTGGGGCCGTTTCTCAGGGTCTGATGATCTCGGCAGGAGTCAAGAGCATTAGTGCCTCCCCAGGAATTACTGAGCTCACCCTGCATAAGCCATCAGCTTTTCCATCCAACCTCTTAGTGCTGCCACATTCAGTCTATTTTTATAGGACAGTTGACTGTATTTATCCTGAGATTTCTGTTGCCCTTCAAGTTCTCTCTTGCCATCAATGATCTTAATCCTAACACTCCTCCACTGGACAGAAAAGTTTTATTTTCTTCCCTAACTTGTTTCTGTCTAAAGAATCGTGTTTTATGCATCGTAATAGGAGGCATTACCTCAGGTTATCAATTTTTTCCTTAAAAATGAAAAAATTAAAGGTCCTACTTAGGATGGGGAAAAGCCCATCCTAAGCCCCAATTGTCTACCTAGGCAGATAATTTGCCTTTCACTTCCAGTTAGCCTGAAAAACTGTAATACAATAGCCCATTTGGCTACGCAGTGAACACAACTGCCATTAGGTTTTTAAACAACTTTTGCTAAATGGTTATAAATAAAGGAATAAAGGGACAGCTTTGTTTTTGCGCTTGGCTAGAGCATTACAAATGCTAATGACGATGAGCAATGCAGAAACCATTCCAGAGCAATCTCTTTTGAAGGCCAAATCCAGGTCAGAGTAGCAAAATGTAGCTTTCAGTGACAGTTGCTTGCTTGCTCCCCTCCTTAGTTAGCCAGTTAATGAGCTTTTATGAATTATGCAGCTCACTAATTCAGTCTTTGCAACATATACTGGGTACACAGTTATCTCCCTAGAGATAACAGTGCTCTAGTAAGCTTGTATGAGACATGGGGGGGGGGGGGGGGGGGGGGGGGAATCGCACAAGAAAGATTATTTAATTTTAAAATTAAGTAATAGCAGGAAATTTTAAGTAAGTACAATACAACTCTTTCCCTCTGGATGAAAGAATTGCTCAGAAGTTCACATGCCTGCTGAAAGGAACTGAAACTGTGTAGAGTGCTACCTGTCCTAGAGATTAAGCCATGGCTCTGCACAGCCCTCCCATCAGAAGCCAAGTTGTTCTGGTTAGGACTTGAGCCTTTCTGGTTCTCTTAGGGCGGAAGGAGGGGGAGGAAACACCCACCTTGCTAAAAAGCCTCTGTGCTCTCCAGAACGCTCAGCTCACCCATACTAGTCACTACTTTGCTTTGGTGCCTTTCTGTGTGTCACACAGTAGGCACTAGTGTACTCAGCAGAGTGAACTGCAGTAGCCACTGCAGAGTACTTGGCAGCACATCAAACAGAGCTTCCTAGGCTTTTATTTCCCCCAAGTTACTTGTTTCTGTTAAATGCTGAATTTTACATGAGGGGACATCAGGAAAGAGCAAGGGATTCTGTATTTTTTTTTCTTTAAGAGTGGTAGCTGCCTGTAGTTACATTAGCTTCACATACGCATCTAGTGCAATCCCTATCTGAGCTCTAAATGATTGAGAACAGAAGCAACAAAAAGTTCCTGTCCATTATGAACTTCTTTACCTCAAAAATCTTCAAGCAAGTTAGGTTGGAAGGCAGAAAAAAAATTCACCTCAGCATTGCTGCATTCAAGAGATCTGTGCTCTGCTACCTAGAGAAATCCAGAGTGCTACATTAGGTGACTGAGTTCTGTACGCAACGGTGGGAAAAGGAACAGGAATCAAAGAATGGCAGTCACCAAACAAGGTGGTGCCCCATCTGAGAGGCTGGGACGTTGGCCACGCTCCACAGTAAGGTTAGGCCTGAGCTTTTTAATCTCTCGTCACAAACCTGGAAGTCTTCGGGAGCTCCTGACCACAGAGCTCAGTTCACAGAGCCTGAGCAGAGAGGAGAGGCAAGCAGAGTTGTACAATGGAAAGAGTCATGTTTTAGCTGCTATGCTTTAATGAAAAAGCATCCTTCCTTGCGCTAACAAGTTAGCTATCTAAAAGCAAGCTACATAGGTGTGTACCCCAAATCCAAAAATCAGGCAAACGAGGGACTTGAATTGCAACCTCTTGTAACTCGTGAGTTTTCTGACAAGACCAAGTGGGAGCGCTTCTTTATCCTGCTTCCTGTGCAAGATACAACCCCAAATCTGAAAATGCCTTAGCACCCCCAAAATGAGAAAAGGACACATGTACCCATCTCAAAAAGGCAGAGTCCCACTTAACATGAGTGTCAGAAACACCAGCACCTCCAGCACTGCTTGGAAGCTGAAAGAAGCTGCAGATTGCAATGTTGGATTTAGGCTAAATCCCAATCTCTGATTCCTATGCACTGTTGTACAGCTGAACCTCTATGCTATGCAAAATTGAGTCCACACAGAAAAAAATAACTATGCATTTTATGAAACTTTGGGTATATGCTTCACTACTAGAGAAGAAAAAAAACATGGTTTTAACAGTTAGAAATTATCCGTTACCTTGGAATTTTATATCTTAAGGGCCTAATTCAAACGTCACTTAATTTACATAAATTCTCACCAACTTCTGTGATCTTTAGTTCAAGGCAAAAGTAACTTCAGGGGAAGGAGAGGAATAAGGGAAAAAATGGCATACACTGAAACTTTGACATTTCCCTGCCTTGTTTCTTTAAATTTTTTTATATGTATATACACACACACACACACACACACACACATAGATACACACACACAAAGAGAGAAAGAGAGCATGCGCGCAGGTACATTGCTTAGCTAGAGTTTATAATCTCACCAGACACATTAAGCTACTGTTATTACTATGAATGTCAATAACAGCTTCAAAGCAATAGCGAAATACAGTTCACTTGGCATCCAGGTGTGGAGGCATATTAGAATGTCTGTTCATCTGGCAATCAGTGAAAATGATATTTGGATCCTGCACCTAGGTCCTTCAAGGAGAATTTACACAAGCCTCTTATTTTGAATTTTATAATATTTTATAAATCTCTTTCATCCAAACCATATTTAAACCTCAGAGCTTTTAAACTTCATTCTGTATTCAATTTGCCAATCTCCAACTTTTTTTTAGAAGGTTCTTTCCTCAAATACATTACTTAATATGTAATTACATATATGACAGGAGAAGAGACTCCACCCCTCACTACCCCCAGGCACCTGGGTGAAAGGGACGCTGTACTGAGTGGAAGTACAAAAAGAGGAAAGTACAAAAGGAAGTACAAAAAAGGAAAACCAGGTTTTCCTCAAACCCGGTTTGAGGAAAAACATTTCCTGAATACAAATCTCAGCATTTCTATGGGATTTATGCTAATATTCTTAGGACGATAATAAATTCAGTTTCATATTCAGTTATAAATTTGAGTTTTTAATGCAAAGTGTAACAGACCTGAACAAACTTATGTTCCCCCAAAAAAACCAAACAAAACCCACACCATGTACAAGAAGCAATTTAAATTGGTAGCTGCTCTTTCTGTACTTCAGCTATACTGATCTAGTTGTACTGCACTGCACTCTTTTCTTTGATTTGCAGATTAAACCAGTAATGCTCTATTACACAAATTCCAGATACTCTGGAGACAGACAGACTTTCAGACCACTGCACAAATAATTCTACACCATATATTTTGGAAGAAACTTCCCAGATGCTAATGTGTACAAGTTACTATTATTAGATAGAAGAGAGAAGGTGAAGAACAAACTGAAACCATAAGAAAATGTGTAATATAGGTCACCTACACAATCATGATCTTTCTATAGCTTAGATCTGCAGTTAACCATGTGGTAACTTCGGTGCTTTAAAAATGCTGCAACTAACAGTAAAGACGAAGAGAGCTTTAATGTGTAAGTATTAAGCTGCCAGACAAATGAACGCAGAATTGATACTGGGGATTAGCAACAAAAGACTATAAAAGCCAGTTCTATTCAGGATTCGAGGAAAACACTGGTTTAGGTATTTTATCCTGTGTAAGGCAATACAGAACATCCTGGACCAAGACGCTGGCCCTTTTTGCCAGTGTTTGATGTTTCAGGGGTACAGCAGAGCCGCGGAGCTAGATAACAGAACAGGAAAACTACTCCAAGAGCCTTTAGCTTACGGTTAAAGAGCATGACAAGAAACAGCTGGATTCTAGGAATCTCATTTGCTGGAATGCCAACTGAGCAACTGAGGCTATTTCAAACCAAATCAAATACTAAACCATCCTGTGACAAGCAGCATCTCCTCTCCAAATCCAACCTAGTGCTTATCTTGTCTCCAAGTAATTTTCCACAGTAGCAGAAGACAGTATTACAGATGGACACTGGATTGCTCTCTAACCTGTATCATCACACATTAGCAATGTAGCAAGATTGTATTTAATCACATTTTTCCCCTCTATCTTTAAAGGGAGGCCCTATCCAGAACCGAAAATCCAAGCGTTGCCTGGAATTGCAGGAAAACAGTGAAAACGAATTTGGATTTCAACTCGTCCTTCAGAAATGCACTGGACAGCACTGGTCTATAACGAATGTCCTGAAAAGCCTGTCATCATAGCAGAATACTTTTTTTCTACCCACTCCTTTTGCTACCGTGTAGCAAATATTGCAATGTTGCCTGCTGTACTCTATGCCCCCCTTCCCCTCCTCCTTTCCTCTTTCCTGTCCCTTTGATTTTCTTGTGAGTGTGTGGAAGTTGGGTTTGTGGGCTGAAAATAGACATTTTTATTTCACAATGATGTTTTCATGGCATTTATAGATATGTTGAATGACAGATTATGGTAGGTGATCCTAAAATATTTTGCAACTGTAAATAGGAAACAAATGGAGAATATTTATAACTCAAGCTTTTATTGAATAAAAAAAATTACAAACACTATTACTGTCTAGCTGTTTCCATGGAAATCAGTTTGGAAATTAAATGGAGGTTTCAGTGTTTTCATAAACCTGAGCCTGATCTTGGCAAGTAGCTGCCAAGCACCAGTATTCTCCAGACACACAGTAAAAAAATAAATAACAAAAAAAACCCCTACCTTGGCCAAAATACATGGGAGGAAACAGCAGCACCATGTGGCTCTGTATGCATTATTCCCAGTGATAGGTGATACCAGGGCCTTAGCATCAATAATACAGGCTGACAGGTTTCATGATCTTAGTTCACGCCTTCCATAGATAAACAAGAAATGGTTAGTAAATTATCATCGTGTTCTCCCCTTTTAAATGGGTTACAAATCAAACGCTATATTAAAAGCTAAGCTGCTGTTCTGCTGCAATCCATCATCTTGCTCCCCGCTTGCTTTTTTTCCCCCCCTTCAGAGTCAAAAACACAAAGGTACAAAAAGAATTAAAAACTACGAAGGCGGCAGTCACAAAAACAGGCTTAATAGTGTTTATTTTCCACGACCAGAATGGAAAACAACACAAAGGAAGGCTGGCTCTTCTCTCAAGTAGGCATTAAATGGTTCCATTTTATAGCCTCAAAGTGGGAGCTTCTAAAGGTTCAGTGCTGACCTATATATATGATAGATATGATAGATAAAAGAAAACACTCAAATATATGAAAAATCCTAGGTGGAGCATGTTATTTCCTGATCAGCAAAAGTACCTTTACTAAAACCTCCTGCAGGACTATGGAGAGAGGAGAACCCAGCAGAAATGGTTAGAATTTGTCCATCATATTTAAAATAAAAAGTATTAATATAATGTCTTAAATAACCATTACTGTATTTCAATTTCTCAGTCTTCCATTTTCTATATTCATATATATTTGTAAGCTATATATGTGAATTATATGTGTGTGTGTGTGTACATATATATATATATATATATTTAAAAAAAAAAAAAAAAAGTGCTCCTGGCCTTCAGTGTGCTCCAGAGTGTGCTTCAGTGTGACAGCCCTGGCTGTCAAGGACTTGGAGTCATCTCTTCAGCAAAGACCAGCACCAAGAAGCATAGATTGACTCGGCCTTTACTACTCAGCTTTAAGAAGGTACCAATACAATTTGGTATCATTTCATCTCAGCTCAGGTTGGGGAGAGAGGATGGAATAGTCTGATCAGATAAACCAGGAAGACTACAATTACTGACCTGTTTATTTACAGCAGTCTTGACTTGTATGTATATCATAAATTCTCTCTCTTATTATTCTATTTGTTCCTTTTATTCTGTTATTCGTTACTTTACACAGCAGTTATATCCTCTTTGGTGCTGGTAATGTGCCAAGCTGTCTTTACGACATTCACTTTCAGAACTAGCTAGTACCATTTTTCTTAAAGACTGCTTAATAAGTCATTTGGCGTATTAATTATATGCATTCATCTTTCTGCTAGATATACCGTATCTACCATATGTTAATTACTCGGAGAAAAAGTTGCAGAGCCAACAACAGAAAAACAGTGGATAATAGCTAATAAAGAGGGACTTGACTCCTGGATTCTGACCAGCCTCAGACATCTCAGGTATTTTGGGACTGAAAATTTCCATTAAAGTGAGAAAGAACATAAAATAGCCTGATCATTATGATACCACACTTGGAAAAGATCATACAGTTTTACTTTATAGAAAACTTAGAAGAGGTTGTGCTTTGTAAGACTTAATGACCCTGCACCGTGAAGCTTGTGCAGAGTGCTGACAGGAGAGGGCTCAGTACAAGGTAGGCTCAACCGCTCTAAGCGATCTCAAGTTCAGCCACTGGTTAACTGATTTTTCACAGGTAAGTATCTCCTGAAGATCAGGTGAATCATGGAAACAGTTCAGCCAGGGAAATGCTTGTACAGAGTAACATGACATAAACTTAGGCTCCAATCAGCAGCAATAACAAGTCTTCAATCGTGTTGTGGAGATGTGGCCATGACAAAACGGGTACTTTGAATCAAACCACCCTGCTCTGCTTCTTAGAGGTGAACTGCACTGAGTAGTCTTTTTCTAGGCTTTTTGAGTACTCTAGTACGCTGGAGGAAGACTCCCTAACAGAATGTAAGGAAGGTGCTCAGCTCCAGCCTGTTTTCTTCCACACCAAAATGTATACTGTTCCCTGATGTGCTGCTCACCCACAGAAGACTGTTGTACCTGATGGCATCACAGCAGTGTGTTCAAGTTCTCCATACAGTGAAAAGCACTCAAGAGAGCCAGGTAATCTCACCAAGCTGTACATGGCATTGACTAGCCATAGATCCCACTACAAGCCAGTTTCAAGGTTTCTGGTCCCACCGATTCCATTGGGGGCCTGCACTGATTGCCCTGCACTGTCTGCTTCAGCCCCTCTGAACAAACATTACAGGAAATCCCTTAGAGAAGAATGGGCTTAAAATTGATCCTACTCTAATTCCAGCAACTACAATGGAATTACCAGAATAAACATTAAAAAAAAAAAACTAGAGTCCAAACCTGAAGCATTACCTACTAACTTTCAATTATTTGTTAAATATATACATTATAATAGGCTTCCATTTTGTGCACATGAAGTTTTTCACATGCCTGGGGAGAAGGTACCAGCTACAGTAAAGCAAGCAGCTGTCACATGGCATAGATAGCAGAGAGCACACAGAAAGGGTAGTACCAAGATTTCAAGGTCATGTGATAACGGAATGCATCAAAATGTTGTTTATACCTTTAAAATACATCTCTTTTATATAAAAAGTATGAGGATGCATGCAGACACACACACTGTACTGGCAGATTATACCACACTGAAGTACACTACGTCCTACTGTAGGGTTATAAACATGGAAATGAGACTGAAGAGCAAAGTTTCACCAGGCTACGCAGAATACCATTAACAACATACTCCAACACTTGATCACATTACCTCTGCTTTTAACAGAGAAGAAACGGGCAACGTAGGTTCTTCACATGTGCACTTTTGTTGAAGTAACCTTTAAGGTTTCTCAAACCTTATTTTGAAAATCAGGTTTCAAACCTTCAAACATCAAAACTGGAACACAAAATATATAGACCAATATAGCACATCATATCGTTAAATCTCTTAACTGTGGTACTGCTTTTCCGTCATCAAGAAAGAATGTTATCAGTTAGCCACATTAGCTAGGTATTCATCAACTTTTCTTGTCTATTTCCAGAGCACTGAAGAGTCCTTTCCAGAAGGAACATGATTATTAAAATCTGACCTTCCATTGCTTACTGAATTAGAGCTTATTGATCCCATACGTTCCTTTTGTCCCAGTACAATGTCTGGCACTGTTAGGAGCACTGTAGAAACAATGGGTTGTTTACCAATCACAACATGAGTCAGAGGTGCAGGGAAATCAGATTTCAGCAGATTTGCTGATAAGTCATACCTCCTGCTTTCCCACAGACAACTCTCTAATACACAATATATCACTGATGATTTAAAAAATTATCAGCTATGACAGAGTTCAGTAATCTCTTACCATCATGGGTGCTAATTCACTCTCCTGATAGCGGGACTGCTGGAAGAAAGCTACAGTAGTGTAACCTCTCAGCAAGTCCCTCTGCTTCCAGGCACAGCCAGCAATACACAGGAGGGAGTGGGAGTGGAACTGGACAGGGATGGGACAGAGACTTAGGGTTACTCCATGGTGCATCTCCCACAAAGCCTCCGCCGCAAGTAAAGCTTCCAGGGATCACAAGACAACACTGTGCATCTTTGCACTCCAATATTCTTTACTAACTGATTTTTTTAGATCAAAGTAGGAGTCTGCTGCCCTTAACTGAAACAAATGCTTTGCCTTTTGCGTTGAAGGAATATTAGTTTATGTTTAACAGTTATTTTTATTCAAACAGTAAAGAAGAAGAGAATTAAAGTCTATTGAAAATTACAGCCCACTCACGAGCCAAACTGTTCAGTCCAAGACACAATTCGCTTTTTTTTTCTTAAGCTTGCATGAGAAGCAACTATGTTCGTACTTTAAAGACCCTAACTTCTTCAGTACATTATTCTTCTGATGGTATTTTTCTAACCATAGCTTTTCTCCTTCTTATGAAGAGATGTTGTTACCATGGGAAGAACAAGGACGTCTGTTCACAGTTCAGAACTCACTTCTAGCTTCTGAAATATTCAGGAAACTTCAAAGGTTTTAAATGTGTTTCATGAGTACTAACTTGTGTAGAACTTTGCTTTTGGCTCCCAAAAGCCTGTATGTTACTGGAGATCCTTGTAGAATTCTTTGATCTAACAGAGAGGTTTGAGTAGTTTACAGCATATAGCAAAAGAAAGACTATGGTGTCACAGTTAATATTTTACTGCCTTTTATAAGAAGGGTTTTATTTTATAGCACAATAGTCATGTCTTCAAAGTGGTATAGAGCTTTCTCATCCATGCAGAGACAGCCCATGACTTCAGACAGCAAATCTGAAAATACTTCTGTTACAACAAATTTTCTTACTTAGAGCTCCTAGCCAAAGGAGTAAAGCACAACTGTAGTTGTTAATAACTTAATATTTGCATCCGTTGAGGGGCAGTTACCCAGTAAAAATGGAGGTGCAGGAGAACAATACAGAAGTGAAGAGGCTGAACAAACAGCTTACACTTGCCTAAGGCACAACTTTGCATGCCCTTTAATAAAACTTAGCATAGCATTTCTGGCTAAAATATAACTGGTAAAGTTGGTAAGGTGAACTCTGCACTACAACAAAAGACCACAAGCTCTTCTGACTCTAAGAGCAGCTGCCAGGAACAGTCCCTGGAGTACTAACTTCCCAAAAGGATACCAAAGCGATACCAACGCCAATTAAACAATGAACTTACTGTTTCTTTTTTCTTCTTCTTCTTCTTAATATCTTGCATTGATTGTGAAGAAAGCATCCTGCACTTTGTTTAGTGGTGCTTCAGTATGTGCTATACATTCATGCC